GAATGCAGATATTAATCGCTCGTGCCGGGCCTCGGATGAAATGGCATTTCGAAGGTCATTACATCCAGCATATGGGATAGCGGTGGAAGGCAGCAATTGCGAATGTCGGGCCAAATATTATGACTAGTTGAACTCTTACGTAAGTTGTGTAGTGTATTTGCGAATAGTATTGTGAACATAGATAAGACGGTAGTGATAACCTTATTCCTCGGAGAAAAACCAGGAGAATGGAGATATAGGTGGGTTGATATTTCGGCAACATGCTTTCATCGAAACAATAGCATTCAATCAAATAGCGGTTCAATGGAAACAATAGCGTTTCAGTTACATGTCATGAAGAGTTTAACTAGATAAGACAGAAGTAGTAGCCTCATTCCTCGGAGAAAAATCAGGAGAATGGAGACATAAATGAGTTGATAGTTCGGCAACATGCCTTTATCGAAACAATAGCAGAACATTCTATTATTGTTTCGATAAAGGCATTGTCAAAATATCAAGCCACCTATATCTCCATTATAACAAATACACATCCGCGTACACCAGACCTGTTATAAATTACTGCGACGCCATCCACGACGGACGCATCACAATGCAGGACGGGACCAGACCTTGAAGCACTACAAAACAGGGCTACGAGTCTGGTGGCCGAGGGGAGGGGGGGGGGGGGCTCTTCAGGGCGCCATCCGGAGCTGGTTGGGGCAGTTGTAGCTGCCCGAAACACCTCACTACTGCACAGTACAGTCACAAATTTGAAATATTTTGCATTTGGGTCAACATTGGATCTGTCTTGCTTGAATTCTCATTTACTTCTTATTAAAGAAACCTAGCCGGCCAAGCAGATGAGCTAAGCTAAGGTAAGCTAAGCAGCTGAGAGAACTGTACCGTCGCAGCGGCCGCAGTTTAGCAACTCTTTCTGTCTGTTTCAGACAAGATGCAAGGTGGTGCGATTTACGCCTTTGCTTTTGCGCCTTTCTGACTGCGTTCATCTTTCATTGGATGCGTTATTCAATACACAGGATGATGGCGACATTGCGGTGGCGTGTCTGAGGGCATGGGGGCGGATGTACTCGGCTGATCTTCGCGCCGAGTATCACGGCCACGCGTGGTGCGCCTGTGCCCTCAAGCCTTATCGCTCCTGTCGTAGTGACACTTGACCCTCACGCCACGCCACGCCCTGGGAGGATGGGGGGGGGGGGGGGGGTGAGCACTGATGCCTGATGTACCATGCTGATGCCTGATGCCCATACTGATGCCGCTGATTGTGTGTGGAGATGCCGCTGATCTAATGGCGATGTCGCTGGTCTGTAGTGGAGATGTCGCTGATCTGTAATGGAAATGTCACCTATCTGCGGTGGAGACGCCGCTGATCTAGGAGATGTCGCTGATCTGCGGTGGAAACGCTGCTGTTCTGTGGTGGAGATGTCGCTGATCTGTGGTGGAGATGCCGCTGATCTGGGGTGGAGATGCCGCTGATCTGGGGTGGCGATGTTGTGACGTCATGCGGTACAGTAATGCTAAGCTTAACCAATGTGCATGGATATGAACAACGCTTTGTTTGAGCGCAAGCACATCTTTGGTAGGAGACGTATTGAGTAATTCAAAACTCTTATCTCCGACCGTTGTCTCCAAGATCCCTGGTTACTCGGCACCAGCTGCACGGTGGTCGTGGAAGGTTTCTGTCCTGTTTCTCGCTGTATATTTTTGCGGGTTGTGAATGAAATCCCCCGCGGTGTTCGATTCTTGTTTAACTTATGACATTGGAGATGTTTCACAGATCATGCTGTTTAGAGAACTGACGACTGATGGCAGAGCGTCTGATATGTGAGTAACCTACACGCGGGTCCCGTGATGATGCGACATTTTTCAGGGGTCACTGCTTAGTGGAATAAACTGATGTCTTCCTGAGCGCTTAGGCTAGTGCAGCTGTGGAATAATGGAATCACTGTCATGGTTTATGTCAATGTTTCGGTAGCGAAATACAATGGAAAAGGAAGTGCCTAGAAAAACCGAATGAAGGACGCATGTGATGGTGATCCACTGTTCAAATACAGCACGCTCGCGAGCTCGCCGCTCTCACGCCCACGCTCGCCGCTCACACAAGCTGCCGCGCTGGCCAAATCCTTAATCGCCTCAATTGGCTCGCGTAGCTGCGATTGATATCGATCTTCGATCGCTGGTGGCGCCGGCCTCGTCCGCTGGCCCACGGCCGTCGACAGAACCACGGACCGCGGACGAGGCAGAGGCCGCCATCAACCGCCACCACCGGACCGTGGACCACGTCCGCCACGCTGAAAACCCACCGCGCCGTCGAAATCCTTAATCGGCACCAGTGGCTAAGCGTCGCCAGTTGGCACTGATCGGGAAAGCAAGACTGTTGTTCGACGTCGGACCTGCGCGGGACTCCGCCATGACTCGCCTCTTGAATTTGCTCATCACAATCCTGACTCGGCTATTGAATTTGTTTATCGCGGTCATGACTCAGCTCTTGAATTTGCACATCACAATCATGGCTCGGCTCTTGCATTTGCCCATTGCAATCATGACTCGGCTCTTGAATTTGCCCATTGCAATCATGACTCGGCTCTTGAAGCTGCCCATCGCGGTCATGACCCAGCTCTTAAATAAGCCCATCACAATCATGGCTTGGCTATTGAATTTGCCCATTGCAATCTTGACTCGTTGCAACAATCACGACGTTCCGTATAAAAAAGTCCTCTCGAAAATCGATGATGTGTCTTGATTCAAAGCAGCTGGCCACCGGTTGTGCCAGAAAGCTCTGTCACCACTACAACATCATAGCGACCGCGCCCAGCCAGACTTGTGCTAGTTGGGCGGTGTATCTTATCATTGACACCGGTTGCCAAACGGGTAAGTTCGAGCTTTTTGGCTTCACCTGCTTGAGCTTGATGGTTGGCGCTTGCCCTTCGCGCTGGCTGGTTTCGCCATTTGAGCTGCTCGGTCTGACCCCTTTGACTAAGTCGTTCTCATTCTTTGAACATCAGGGTTTCACCCCTTGAATTCTCCTCTCCCGCCCCTTGAACCCGTCAATCCCCCCCCCCCCCCCTGAAATGAAGCGTCGTTTGCTGCACGATCTCTGTGTTGGCATTGACCAGGCGGACTGTCTTTGGTTGTCGGTCTTAGTAGGCGGTCGCAAGTCTGTGATTTACGGGGCGGCTGCATTGGTGATCGGATGTCTCTGTGCGTTTAACTGTTTGCAAGTCTATTTGGTTTAGGTGAACTCATGGAAGGGTAGTCGCTATTGTCTATGCACATGTGGAGTCTAGCTGAGCCGTAAATCGCTGCTGAAAGAAGCCTTGACAGCATGTGCCCATAAAAATGAGTCTGTCTATTTAGACATAATATTGAATGCTAATGCTGCTCCAGTCCGAATAATTGCATTTCGGACGTGCGTTAGCCGGTTGTCACGTGACGTCCTTATTTTTTAGTAAATCCTGTTGTTTGTTAGCGCGCACACCTCGTGACGCATACGTTTATCCAAGGACGTCTTTTAGCTTAGTGTAGGTAAATTAACCCACGGTACTAACCAGCCCTCGTCACAACTTTGTTATGTAATTCAGTCCGTCTCAAAGACACTGTAAGCAGCCAGCACTTTTCTACCTGTTCCGATGCGGCGTTTTATATTTCCTTACCGCTCGCTGTTCTCAAGCGTTTCACCGAGGTCTGAATTGCTGACATCTTCGCTTTTTCATTGCTGCGCAGCATTGGCCCTTTATTGCGCGTGACAATTCCTGTGAATTGACTTGGTGTCGGTTGAGCTCAAGGACACCTTTAGCCACGCCTTCATGATTTTTCGCAGCGTTGCCAAGGTTCAGCTTTTCCTCACTCACGTGACGCCAAAAATACATCAGTGGCGTGAACGGTAGATACAAGAGTGCTATATATTTAGCTGCGTCGCATCTTGAGGCAAAGTCGATAAACGAGCTTTCCCTTTCCGCAAGAGCGAACCGCATTGGGAGCTCCTTCCAAAGATTACACATGTCTGGTGACGTCACCTGCCCGGTGACCGGTGACGTCATCTGTGCACCTCAGTGACCGGCCGCTTGACAAAACACGGCATATGTCTTGAAGAAAAACAAGCCGCGTGTCGAGTTACCAAGCGGGTTTTGTCTGTGAGCGGCTGTGTAGCGGACTGGAGCGACAGCCTCCGCACGTGCGCCGGTGAGCGTTCACTTCACACCTCACATCGGCCTCACATCCCACACCGACCTCACCCCTTTCACATCGACCTGACGCCTCATATCGACCTCACACCTCACATCAACGCCACACCTCACATTGGCCTCACACCTCACATCGACCTCACATCTCACATCGAGCCCACACTCCACATCGACCTCACACTCCACATCGACCTCACATCTCCCATGAGCTGCGCCGGCGGCGCGCCCGGCGACAGCGTCGGCCGCCACGCGGCGGAGGCCTTGCCTTGTCATTGCGATCACGCGCCGTTGTGTACGCTAGATAGTCGCCGTTGGCTCCTGTCCCATTACGTCACCGAGCGTTGGCGGCGGCGCGGCCGGCACAGCACTGCCGACGGCCGAGTGCGCCAGGCGCCGCTCCAAGATCGCTGCCAGGCTCACTCTCGCCCCGCTGCAGCCGGGCCCGGCGCTGTGTCGGCTTGGGAGGGTGACTCCAGTGCTCGACGGTTGACCTGTCGCGCGAAGTCCGGGCCGTGATCGAGTCGTGTCTTGCCGTGTCTGGCAGTGTCTGGCCGTGTCTGGCGGTGTCTGGCGGTGTCTTGGCGGGGTGCAGACCATTCCAGGTCGCCGCGCTGCCCGATCGCTCCTAGACGTGGGAAACACCCTGATTTTTCCGCAGGTAAGCACCACAAGTGTCAAGGCTATCCACCGTGCCGCCAAGAGTCGCTCGACCGTCTTCGTCGACGACCAGCGCCCGCCGGCCAGCGGGGAGCGCGTGCTGGGCTTGCGAGCTGGTGGGTCGGAGGCCAGAAGCCGCCTCCCCTCCCGACGCCCCGGAGCATGACCGGCACCGAACACCGGGATGACGAGGCGGCGGACGGAGACGGCACTCCCGGCGACGCACCACGGTCGGGGATGGTCGGCGGCCGGGCGGCCCTGAAGCCTCGCAGTCACAAGCCCGAGGCGAGGAGCGCGAGTCGCGAGTCGATGGCCTCGACCCTGACAGACGAGCCCGCTCGCGTGGCAGCAGTGAGCCCGAGTCACGAGTCGCTAGCGGCGAGCGCTGGCAACGAGCCGGCCCGTCAGCCGACGGCGGGGCAGGCGGCGCCGCCCGAGCCGCCGGTGGAGGACTCCGCCTACAGCTGGGTGGTCGCCGGCGCGGCGGCGCTGCAGTTTGTGCTGGTCGGCGGCATCCACAAGTCGTTCGGCCTGGTGCTGGCGGCGCTGGTGCAGCGCCACGGCTTCACCGCCGCGCAGGTGTCCATCATCCCGGCCACGTACATGGCGGTCAGCTTTCTCGTGGCGCCGCTGTGCGGGGCTCTCTGCCGCCGGCTCTCCGAGCGGAGCGTGGCCATGCTCGGCGGCCTGTGCTCCTCGCTGGGGCTCGCCCTCAGCGCGCTCACCAGCGACGTCTACCTCCTCTACCTTACCAACGGGCTCATCTTCGGTCTAGGCCAGGGCTTCTCCAACGTGCCCGGCACCCTGCTTGTGACGCAGTACTTCGTGAAGCGACGTGGTCTGGCGAATGCCATCATGGCGGCGGCGGCTGCCGTCGGTGGCGTGTTCTTCCCGCTGCTGGTGCAGCTGCTGCTGGAGGAGTACGGCATCCCCGGCACGTACCTCATGCTGGGGGGCTTGCACATGCACACGCTCGTCTCGGCGGCGCTATACCGGCCGCTGGAGAAGCAGCGGATGATCATGCGGCTGGACAGGAGGCGGTGCTCGAGGAGACTGAAGACGGCCGACAGGGCCAGCGCACCGATCCAGGACGAATGCAAGAAACAGGCGCTGGTTAACGGCAATGACAACGGAGCTGGCGCCGTCGCCTCTCAGCCAAACGGCGCGACTCACGTGGGCCCGGCGGCCGCGGCGCTGGTGAGCCGCGCGCGGCTGTCGGCCTCAGTCGTGCAGCTTGACCCGCAGGACGAGCCCACCGCCCGCCGCTGGTCGACAGCCGGCGGCGAACACACCAAGGCGGCCGAACAGGAAGCGCTGATGGCGCCGGCGCCGCGCCGCCGCGCCAGCACTGCTCTCAGCGTCTCGTCTGCCTGGCTCAGTCAGCTCAGCCTGATGGCCCAGCTGCCGCCAGCACCGGCAGCGCCAACCGGCTGCTGGGCCCAGCTGTCCCGCCTGCTCGACCTGCGCTTGCTGGCAGACCCGCTGTACCTGGCCTGCATGTTGAGCGTGCTGCTCTTCTCCGCCGGCCTGCCGCACGTCTGCCTGCTGGTGCCTCGCTTCGGCCTCGAGATCGGCATCAGCCGAGGCCGCACTGCCAACATGATCGCCACTGTGGCGCCCATCGACATCCTCAGCCGGCTGTCCCTCGGCCTGCTGCTCGATCGCAACCTCTTCCACAAGCGGTACGGCTTCTTCATCACATGCCTGGTGGGCGGAGCGGGCATACTGGCGCTGGTGTTCGTCCGCACGTACGCCGGTCTGTACGTCGCCTGCACGTTCGTCTACGCCGGCATCGGCTTCTTCTTCGTGGTGATGCCGGTGATGTACGCCGAATACTACGGCGTGGAGCGCCTCTCGTCCACGCTCACCATGTCCAACATGTTCTCGGGCGTGGCTAACCTGGTGGCGCAGCCGCTGTGTGGTTTGCTGCGGGACTCGACCGGCTCGTTCCGACCCGTGTTCGGCGTGCTGGCGGCGTGCATGCTGACGGGCGGGGCTGTCATGCTGACGCACCCCTGCATTGAGCGGGCGCGGCCGCGGAGAGCGGGAGGCGAGCAGGCCGCCTGATAACGGCGGGGGGGGGGGGACCGGCGGACCGGCCGGCAGTGCGGGAGTGGACCGGCGGACCGGCCGGCAGTGCGGGAGTGGACCGGTGGACCGGCCAGCAGTGCGGGAGGGACCGGCGGACCGGCTGGCAGTGTGGGAGGGGACCGGCGGACCTGCCGGCAGTGCAGCTTCCAGAGCGGGAGCTCTTACTGCTCGGTTACTGAGCACGACAGCTTAGCGTGTGACTGTGATAAGTCATGAGCTGAAGCAGAACGCCGTGGGAGTTAGTAATCAGTGGTATGAAACGCCTATCTTTTTGTGAGCCGATGACTTCAGGCCAACAACCAGCCGAGCGTGGCCGCGAAGCCCGCATCTCGTCGGCATGGGCTCAGAGCACGCCTCGTACCATGACTTCTAGCTCGGGAACCTGCCAAGTCAGCGGCACTAGGGTCTGAGAGACCACACCTGCATGCTCTCCATGACAATAACGTGCTCAGTCGGATTCTGTGTTACAGGATAACAGCGGTCATAAACGGCGAAAGCCTCGTATGACTCATTGGATTCAAGGGACAGACTGAGCTTTGGTGGCGACGCCGGTGATCTGTGATGGTGATGTCGCTGATCTCTGGCGGTGATGGCGGCGATCTGTGATGGCGATCCCGCTGATGTGTGGTGCCGATGTCGCTGATCTGTGATGATGCTGCTATGAGTGGTGGTGGTGCCGTTCATCTTTGGTGGCGATGTCGCTGATCTGTGATGGTGATGTTGCTATGTATATTGGTGATGTTTATTTTTGGTGGCGATGTCGGTGATTTTTGGTGCGTTGATGCCGCTGATCTGTGGTGGCGATGTCTAAGGTTATTGATTCGCATTCTTTTATGAGGACCCTGGCTGCCCCCCCCCCCCCCCAACGTGAAGTTACCACCCCCCTCCCCCTCCTCACCAAAACCTCTATTGGCTCGGGCGTCCCATAATTTTTTGTGTCTGAAATATTAGAAACGCGTAGGGAAAAGTTGGCCATCACACGACAACCTTCTTTGATGGCCGCAGTGAGGTAGCCATGGAGGGTGCAACGGGGCAACTAGACCTCGCAACCTGAAAACTATTCCACGGAATTGGTAACTAAAATCATCGATAGCGAAGCATTTCTCATCAAAATTTGTTGTTGTTTTGTCTGTCAAAAATAAGCCCAGACGCTTTCTCTACCCACAGCCCAAACGTGATCTTGACGCTAGTAATTCCCCCGCTTCGTGATCTCTTATGAGACATTAGGTACCTTTGGTCCCCCAACCCCACCCATGGTGGGGTATGAACCTAACATTGTTTTACCTGAAGTTGAAGCCTGAAGTGCCTTATTCCAAGATCTCACGAGAAAGCAAGGTCGGATAGGATGTTTCTGGCGCGGCATCGTTAGTCCAGGTTAAAGGTCCAGTACAGCTATAACATGATGACGATGCAATAAACACAAGTCCTGCTCAGACGAATTCTTAATTTGATTCTGCATTGAACATGGTTTATTGCCAGCTCTCTGAATATAGGATCCATCATTGTAATTTATGTTGAACGGATCCATTTTACCACGGTCATCATCGAAGCAGTACGAAAGGACCTTTAGTGTGCCATACGGCCACACGATTATCGGCTGTCCTGTGGCCATACTGATACTGACAAGCCAAAGGTCAAACGGCCCTTTTCGACGAGTCATGTTCGAACACTTACTCTGTAAGGTGAGCCTGTCACCACGCGTTTCCCCACATCACCAAGGTGGTCAGTATAAGTTCAGCATTCTACCGAAGTTGGAATTCCGTCACGATGGTTGGTATGTCTTCGCGGCAATAAAGATCTATTTGCGAGCACGAAATATAAACGTTGCTCATTTAATGTTGTTGCATCTTCGCATGGTGTCTTAAAGCAGTATAATGCCGGCGGATGATTTGAATGATGGAGATGAGCTAAGGTGATGGAGGGAGGGCCGTGGCCATACGGCCATTGTGTATTCCTTGCACGACCTCTACAACCGTAGCACTCCATTGAGAATTTAAAATTTTTGGATAACTGGACCCTCTCAGAGGTTTCACCTCGAAACCTAATAGACCTATGTCTTTTGCTTCAGCACGCAGCGGACCGTCCTACATGTGACAGCTTGGCATGCAAGACTTCCAGAAGTTTTTAACTTCACCGTTTGGAACAGCTTGACATCACCAAACGCTAAACTTCCAAAATGTCACGAGTGAAAATATCCAGATATAAATAACATTGGGTCGTGAAAAAGTCTGTTAATAAAAGGCCAAGGCTCTCGAGGCAGTTGGGCCCATTGCACCTTCGGGCGCCTTCAGGTGCAACAAAATGTTAGGCACTCTCCACAGCGTGCAACCAAATGCTGATGTCTCTTCTGCTTTAAATTCCTTTTTGCGACATGCTGGTGCATGTATACCACAATGCACTTTTATTCAGGTAGATTTTGTGTCCTCTAAACTCTTTTGTAGATTTACTTCTACCCTCACCCCTTCAACGCTTTTTCCTTGTAGTGTCTTCTGGTTCAACTTTTATCTCTGTCGACTTTTGTCCCTTTCAACTTTTTGTCCTTCAACTTTTCGTAGATTTTACTTTTAGGCCTATAGACTTGCATCTCGTCCGACGTTTTGTGGTTATACCATTTCGTTCGGGTTTCTTGACAATCGACTCTGATCCCTTTGATGTTAAGTCCGACAATGTTTTCTTTCAGACATTGTCCCCGTTGACTTTAATCTCATTTAACTATGTTCGGTTGACTTTTTCCGCGCGACATTTTCCATTAGACATTTTTGTCTGCTGCTGAGAACACGGGGTACGCACCCGGCGCGCGCGCGAAGCTCCACCAGTAACCAACCTCATGAAGACAGCATGACGTACAATTCTGGCGTAGTGAGTGACTTCTCAAGCTTTTACTTTCATTCCGGTCGCATGGAGTAAAAGGTAACTTTTTATTTGAACGACCGCAAAATTCCACTATTTGTGGGGACATTTGAATTAAGGAGCTATTTCGTACCTTGCCAAGCATCCATCGGGTTTTATAAACGTACCTGACTTGACCATGGAGCAGACATTCACTCCGAAACTGACTAAAAATAAAAAGATGCTCTTGCCCGTCGTAAAATCAGCAGTGATCATAGAGGAGCCGGCGTACGGCCATGCAGAAATGGAGGGACAAAGTGTTTAGACCAAAAACTGGTTGCGATGGCGTTTTTTGCGACGTTTAGACTGAGAGCTGGTTGATCTGGTGGCGATGCCAGCGACCTCACCTCAGCTCATAGACATCGCCTCGAGCCCTTGTGTTGCGGTCACTTAACGCGGTCAATCGCTGACCCGGCACGGAATCGCATAATTAAGTATTTTGCTTGAATTGTCATCGACAGCGGCATCCTTTGAATACGGTGCGGAGAGACACATTCCATACACATGGTAAATTATCATTTGAGCAGAGGGCCGAGTTAGCCAGGGTGCTGGCCAGCCGGTGGCCGGAGCGGGAGAACCAGCAAGCACGGGAAGCTATAGTTCTACCCTATAGCGAGGGCAAAGCCTGAGCCATGTAAAGAATCAGCGGCAAATGCAAGGTCAAAGCATACTTGAAAATACAGCGAACGATCACGCAAGTGTCTGTTCTCCCCACGGGCATCGGGCTAAAAAAGCCGACTTGTATTGCTTGTAAGATGGCTTGCAGGATTGTTAGATTCCGTTCTGATTGTTCTGTTCTGATGGTCTACATTGGAGAGAGTGTTCGAAATTCAGTGGAGAAAAGAAAGCAACACAAAACATCTCACTCAGTCTGACAGATATTCGAGGATAGAGGCTACTGCTGCCACATGAACACAGGACACACTATCGACTGGTACAACGCAGAGGGGCCAGCATTTGACACGCTTTGTGAACATAGCTATATTAAGAGGGCTTTCCACTACACGTGCGAGCAGTATGCAAACAAACACTCAACAGGAATGTAGGTAAGCGCGCAGTTTACGCGAGATGGCTCAATCTGTTGAAGTCACAAAAGCGTTGTTGTCTAAAACAAGTAGTGATTAAGTTATTAAGCAAAGTTAGTTAAGTTCACACGATAGCAAAGCTGTCGATTGAAATGGTGTATCATAATTGGTCTTGTATTGTATTATATTGTGCCATATTGTATTGCACCACGTGTTGGCTCATCCACCCACACTGATGACTATTCAAGAGACTGGTCCAGATTTAAATGGGGTTTTGAACTGAGGTAGACATTGTCACCATCATTCCCTTCAGTTAGCAGCCAAGTCCATTTCAATGCCTCAAATTCTCTCGCTTTTGGTCCTTATGCACGCGGAGATGTGCAGCACATCACGCGCCGCCTATGGGAAAGCCACCCACATGTGTATGACGTCATAGAAACGTCCCACTTCAATGGCCGTGTTATGCTCCTGGTACAGAAAAAGAAAATCACTTCAAAGGAGCATTCCGCCTTTTTTGTACTTGGTACTTGTTGTTGCATCAGATGCGTACGATTAGGTCAGTAACACCGGTTTTCCGTAATTTGACTAGCTCTTTTGACTAGCTCAGAATTTCGATATGAAGCAACTCACCCTGCTGGAGAAATCTTATTTGACTCCACGCTCACCAATATCAAAAGTAATGCATTTCGATGTGCTTGAAGTTGATATCCTTATGTCGTGACGGCGGTGTAGTGAAGCCACCCAATGCTATCAAAAGACAAGTTGTGAGGTTTCACTAGAGCATGTTTTTGAAATATGCCCCAAAGGTGAAGCACTTCTTTTAAACACAAATGTTTCGGGTGATGCTGCATCAGGTGTCGCAATGACGGGAGTCAATTGGATGATATTCGTTTTGGGCTGCTGATCTCGCCGCTTACTGTATAAATCGATCACGAACTACGTTTCGCAATAAGCAACACAGCCTTATGAACAGCTACTAGATATCGTGGACATGAGGTTGATAATCGAATAACTTGTAGCACCGTAACCGAAAATGCCAATGCAAGTGGGGAAAACGCAGTCACGGAAAAATACCCAAGAGTGAGACCAGAAAAGATCAAAACACACGCAAGTAATGCTCGCTCGTTGACATCATACGCATAAGTCGCCAACGCAACCTTGGGGCGCGTAGACGTACCAGAAATGAGGCACGCCGTCCGCTACAGCGGCAACTCTCACGCGACAAGGCTGGAAGCACCTCTGACCCCCTAAAAATGACCCATCACGTAATTAAATGATGGTGCGTTTAGTACATGTTCATTGAGTAGTGAAATTACGTTCTTGGAGCGGACTTTTACCAATTCACTGTCGATTTAATCGTTCTAGTCGCTGGATGTGCAAGGTGTTGGCTGTCGGAGTTAGTCATTCTCAGTCGCTCGGTCAGTGTAAAGGAGGCCCACTGCCGGAGGGGGGGGGGGGGGCGAAGGGTCACGCGGCGCGACCCTGACATTAGAGCGGGCGGTGCGGCATGCTGGTGGTGGGCAGATGAATGAACGAAGATTCGTACAACATGAGGACAAGC